GTAAGTGGTATAATGAGTATTAAGGTGCTGGGAGTAAGTTACATCACCCATTTTGTGTTTTAAATGCTGTTATCTGTCATTTTTGCAGTAGGGTAATCGATTACTTTTCCTTGGTAATCGATTACCTGAAACAGGGGACGCAAAAATTGAGCCATTGTGATGAAGGTAATCGATTACCTTTGCATAGGTAATCGGTTACCTCGTTCAGTAATCGATTACCTATGTCAAGGTAATCGATTACCCAAAACAGGGGAGCCCAAATTGAGCTACTGCCTCATTCTGGAACTTTTGGTAATCGATTACCTCAAGAAGGGTAATCGATTACCACAGTGTAAATTTTTGAAAATAGTGTTTTTATAACCTAGAGTTAATGGTATTGCTTAGAGGGGTTATAATAAATGAGTTTTATGCTTTCGCGAGTTTTGCATTTACGATTACGGTGTTATTTTTAATTGATTACGGAAATGATTAATGTTTAACTATAAGAATTTAATAAAAGAAAAAGTTTTTCCGTAATTTAATTAACTCAATGACTGTGATTGTAACTGCGCTTAATACCATATGCAATGATAACATTACCGGTACGTAACGGGCTGTTACAGAGGCTATGTGACCCCTAACGTGTACAGGATCATGCGGCCTTGGAAAATGTAGGAGGACACATGTACAAGGAAGTCACACACTTTATGCGCTCAGTGATGATGGCCCTGCAGTGTAGCTAATTGTGCTGGCTGAGCAAGGCCATTTATCTAGACCAGAACACCGATGTACCCCTATAAAAAGAGAATAAGTCAAGGTTGCAATGAAAAATATGCATGGACAATATATGCAAAAACTGGAAGAGTAATTTTTCGTTGCTGTCGGCAAGAACTAAAGAGATGTTAAAAAGATTTCATACTTGTATTGAAAAGAATCATATCTAATTTAAACAAAAAAAAATAAAAAATTATAATAGTCTTCGCGAGCATATTTTGTCATGTTTTGAGAAGTAGCTTTTAACAATCTGCTTTTGGTCTAAGTCAACCAAATTCGAGTAAAGGATGAAAATATTTTCATTTTTTGTATTGTGGTGAAAGAAAGAAAACTTAGTGTATTATTTATAAAGTTGAAAAAAAAAATTGATTCATTTAATTATAGTATATCCATAATTTTATGTACAAACACTTTTTTCTTTTTTGAAAATATTCCAATCGGTTCATTGCTTCGCAACTAATCCGATTCGGGGCGGGTCCAGGATTAAGGTTTTAAATCCCTTTCAAAGGTGGTACTGGGGAGATTCGAACACATGCTCTCACCCCCACCTGCTTAATGATATATAAGTCTCCTTTATTTCTAATTTCCCTGAAAGAGTATATCTTATCGGACAAAACTGAAACATTTGAAGTTTTTTATTTTTATTTTTTAAAGGATTGAACAAGCAGATCAATATAGTTGTATAAAATTAAGACACATAGATAGTGACACATGCAACCCCTCTCGTGTAGGACACTTGATATATCCTCCTTGGCACTTAAATCATTTTATATATCTAATGGCTAACATTTCATCGTGACTCACCTTCTCCTATCCTATTTAAAAATCCTAACCTTGGTTGCCATTTTGACGTTCTGGGCTTTAGGGTTTGTTAAATGGGAAAAGGGGAGAACAATTGGGGATTTAGGGTTTTAGGGGAAGTTGAAATTCGAGTTCAATTTTTATGTTCAAATTCATTTCCATTGAAGAAATCGGATTTGCAGTGGAAACAGAGCAGAATGTATACTTGTGGTTGTGGAGCTTCCAGAAATTTTTTGCACTTCTTGCATTTTTTTTCTTTTCTTTATTTTTTATTTTTTTATAAAAATTACATTACCAATCAAAAGCTAAAAATCGAAATTATCAATCAATGCAAACTAATTCTTTAAGGTGAAATAGTTGAAAGGAATAAACTAGCAAATTTATTTAAACTATAAAAGATTATAAAAACTTAACTGTGTAAGTTGGCTTTTTGACTAGAGAGAAATTTTGTTTTGATAATCTTAATATCGTACTTTTCAAATATTATAGTAGCGATTAACTTGAAGAGCTCGAAATTTTCAATTTTTGGTGGTGAGTGACTAACATCTTCATAACTGCTTTTCACTTTAATCTTATGTGATGGGTTTTTTTAGCATACCTTACCCTTTTAGTGATGTATGATAAATAGGACAAAACATAACATAAGGATGTGTGTGCTTAATGAGTATTCACTCAAAGTGTTACTCTTTAAGTTCACTAACATCAGAGCCTTCTACATTAGATAAACAAAATATCAAGGCAAGCAGTCAAGGTTCTAGATGAGGAACAAGGGAGGTTCTTACCTCCTTCAAGCTCAAAAATTCAAAAAAAGCAGTTCAACCTCATCCAGCTTCATTGTGTTATGCTTTCTGCTTCCCTACCTTGTTGTTTTCCCTTCATAACCATAGTACCAAACTTCTCCCCATTTCCATGCTAGCCTCTCCTTTTTTTTCTCATCTGACATCATGCCTAAGCTTGGCAGGGTATAGGGGATACAAGATGTCACTAATATGAGGGGTGCTTTTCCATTTTGGTGTTCATCATTCTTTGAATAGCAGAGAAAGATTTTTGTTTGACTCTATAAAGTCTAATTCTGAATCATGGCTTTTATCCTGCTTCACTGTGTCTTATTATCATCATTCTTTTGTTATTATTATTTGTTTTTCTGTTTTTATTATTTAATTACTATTGTTTTTTGCCATTTTTGATATAGACAAAATTGGGGTTTGTACACATGTCATCCTTCCAAGCTTAAGCAAGAATGGTAGATGCCTTCCATTGCTAACATCCAACCTTCTCTGGCATGTTGTCATTGTTTAATTGACGACTTCATTTATGACATGCCTACATTCGAAACCCCCATCATAGTGGAAAATTCACCTGTTGGCCCTTGCATTTAAACATTGGATTTATTGGTACCACAACTCAAGAACCATCTGTTGCAATTTTCTTCGGGGGAGGTTGTTGTTGTTGTTGCTGCTGCTGCATTAGATTGTCTGCGCTGGCTTTCCGTTTACCTTCATTAATTGGATAGAAAAGATACAGTATAACTATCCCAACTTAAAATTAAATGTCAAAGCCACTAGAATTGGTTTGAATAGTTTGTATTAGGTTCCATTGTATCCAAAAATAAATAAAAGTTGTAAGTGTAAGTTGGGAAACCACTTAGAGTGTACTATTGGTGAGGGGCTTGGATACTTTTCTACGAGGTTATGAATTCAAATCTCAGAGTCATCATTATAAACATAAAAACAAAAAACAAAAAATTAGCCAGGAAAATTTAGGTATGCTTATCAAGTAGTTGTTCCTATTATATACAGTTCTACAGGATATGTTATACAATCAATGCAGTTAGACCATGAAGTCATCTATATATAGTGTTCCATTAGAATATAGCAAAACTAACAGCCTCTACAGCCTCAAGAGAGTTGTCATAGATGACAACACTCATTTGACGTTGATAAGTTATAGTTGTAAAAACATTTACAATAGCATCATACTTACATAAAATTCTATTTGAATGTGAGAATTGGTTGTTGTTATTACGGATCACAGAAACGTGAGGCCTAGCATGAGTCAAATTGCTGAGAGGCTACAAAGCCATGAACATGATTCTTGATGTTTGCACAGAGAATAGCCATCTCTTGGTGCTCATATTTACTATTTTCTGTTTAGGTCTTTAGGAAGCATATAGTGTTTATTTTTACTTTTGTTTGTTCTTACTAACTACTAAGGACAAATAATGGAGATAAACTTGTAATAGAGAAAAACAAAGGAACTGAGACTAGTTTGAATTTTTTTTTTAATTTTAAAGAAGTCAGTGTGAGTATAAGTATTTTTTTAATTTTAAACCACCGATTTGTGTGTGAAAATTGGATACAAATGTGTCATCCTATTGTGGTTTAAGAAATGACCCTTATTACTATTTGCTGAGCTAATGCAATTATGATACTTGGCAATATTTATTAGTGGATACAAAGTGAAAAATAGTAATAAATGGAATTAAAGGAGATGCTTTTGATCAGCAAATTGAGTTGTGAAGGTGAAACCACTCAATCTTTGATAACCTTAAGAGTTCATACGTAAGAACTCCAGTCAAATGTTGGTAGTTACAGCTTACAGTGACTGGATGCAAGTTCACCCTCATTTCACTCAGTAGTTATACGAACACAAGTGAAAGTAAAAAAATAAAAATAAAAAACAGAAATCGCATGAACAATGACTCAAATTAATGATAGAAGAATGTTAAACACCAACACCAATTATAACAGCGCATTCAATCCCCATAAGTTTCTGCAGCATCTGAGAAATTAGATATAACCCCTGCTCTTCAAACTCTCCACTGACTCTTTGATAATTTGTTCAGCAGGAGTGAACTCTAGTCCTAAATCAATCAGATTCTTGGATGCATCCTTTGCTCTTAATAACTCAGGTTGGTTATCTTTTGAGACCCTGTAAGCAAACGATAAAAATAATAATTAATATTGATACTTTGATAAATCGAAATTTTGTAATTGCATAAGGATGTAAATCAAATTTTTTTTTTATTTTCACACCATGTATTAATTTATCAGAAAAAGTACTAGTTGTTCAATTGCTACATGTAATTGTGTAGAATACACACCTAACCACATTATATTCAGGGCATAAGTCAGCAACCAGTTCTACAAAATCAACATAGCGACGATGCTGTTATTGCTATTTGTAATTTTATGTATGCAACCAGTTCTACATAAAATACAAGACATATTTCTTAGTACGCAGTGATTCTGTTATTTGATTAACTTTCTTATGGGAGCAATTCTAATTGTAATTCAAATTTGCAAACCATAACATTTAACAAATTTAAACCATATATTCAGATTGCTCTTACAATCTAAAAAATTCAAATTGCACAAACCAATAAAAACAAGAGAAAATATCAGTACACCCTCTCTACAAAAGGAATCCTATTACTGCTTTCAATGCTAAATGGCATCAAGAACAGAAAAATCAAAGCGATTATTGTATGAATCCCAATGAAGGCTTATCTCATCCCCTTTCTTTAAGCCTCTTCTTGATACAAAATATTTAACCCAATTCCCAATGAAAACATAGCTTCTTGAAGAAACCCATTTCTTGAAAACTAAAGAATGAATGGAGGCAGTGTCCATATCCCAAATCTCAACTTGAACACCTTTTTCAACATCACCATCCAACACCGGCACCACTAAATTCTCAGCCAAATCTTTTGGGAGCGAGCCTGCTTATGTTGCCAAGATCACTGCAATTGAGGACTTTTTGGATCTTCTAGGGATCATCACAAAACATCAAATCAGTTGAGTAACCCCAACTTCTCTCTCCACAAACCTTCTTTCTTGCAGCAACAGAGGTTTCTTCAGACATCTTCCTCTTCTTGGTTAAAGAAACAAAGACATCTTCATTGGTTGTGTTGCAATGACACTTACCAAGTGACAAATGGGTACACACCATTGTATTACAAGGACACCTAGCAAGTGATAAATGAGTACAGAGATCAACGTTGTTGTCGTATGCCATTGTTGACAATAACACAGTTGGGGTTTGGTTTCTTGAAAGCTTTAAGATTTTTCTGCTAGCTGAGTGAAGCACATGACGAAGGTCCAATATATATAGAAGCTGGACCAGCTGGTTACGTAACGTTCTTATTTTGTTTTATAAATTTTCTTTTTTCTTTTTTATTTTATCTATTTAAGTATAATTTATATCTTAAATAATTTTTATTTGAAATATAGGAAAATAAAAAATTAAATTATACGAGTTGATGAGCACTTGTATATTGTGAAAGTATCAACACAAAAAATTATTGATTGATTATAAAAATATCGATTCACATTGATTTTTAATTATTAAACTAAGAGAAACAGTACACAACTTTCGATTTTTTTTCTTCTCTACACTGGTAATATTAGCATTTTCTAGATTAATTGTTACAAAATATTAATAAATTTAAATTGTTAGCATTTGTTAATAATAATAATTCACATGTAAAATTGAAAATTTAAAGAAATAAAAGGAAAAAGAAATTAAAGGGGTGTGTTGAATTAAGGGCTTTTGCTATTTCTTTTTATTAAAATAATAATGGATTCGGTCTTGTTATTTTCAAAATATATTTAAAATATTCATAACTTTTCTATGGTTTAATCAACTAAAAAAAATTCTAATTTGTTCCTCCCTTTATAGTCCATTAATTTATCGCAAGGTACAGCAAATAATAAAAATGATTATTTGAAAAAAAAAATGAAATAATATACAACTTGCACAAATAATAAGGAATATAATAAAGGGAGCCATGTAACAATATAAAAACTACAATTATTCAATAAGACTTAAAAAATTTCAAATGCTAAATTGAACTCAAATCAGTTTATATAAGGCGTAATGTTTAATCAAAGATATAATTATTCGGGATAAGATATTATATTTATTTTTTTATACCTACTCATCTCTAACATCATTGGATAAGAATTTTCAGAGGAGGGAGAAAAAATGAAACTTACTTGAGATTCTGATCTAATAGTGTGGGAGATGAGTATGTAAAGTAGGTATGAAAAAAATAAATAGAATATCTTATCTCTAACCATACAATAAGCTCCTAGCTACATAATACGTTCACTTACATTATTTTTAGACTCTGTCTAGAAAAAATTAAATAACAAACTTAAATTCTCATTTATAAATAAGTCATACTACAAAAATTCAGGCATTTTGTGGGGGTCATATTTTTATATTGTGAGGGTCTTTGACCCCCACAAAATACATTTGTGGCATCCGCAACAACCCCTAGTTTTGCCTACGCCACAACATACTTAGTGGCGTTTTAGTGTGCAACGTCACAATTTGTTTGAGTATTTTCTGAAAGTTCCAGACCCCCACAAATGTTGCACTTGCTGTAAGTTCAAGACCCCCACAAATGTTTTATTATTTCTGGAGGTTTACAAACCTTCACAATATATTTGACTTTTTGTCTTTCAAAGACCCCCACAATATTTATCATTTTCTGGAGGTCATAGACTGCTACAATTATTTTTTTTTATTTTGATAGGTTTAAACCTCCACTAAATACTAGTAATCCAAATTTGAAAGATTTGTATCTCATAATTTTGGAATTGGGGCCAATCAATTGATTTGTTAGCCAATTTATTATTTATTTGTTTGATTTCTTAACATTTCCTTGAAAATAATTATTAAATACTAGTTATCCAAAAGCAACACTATAGCACACCAATCATAGTTCATATTCATGCTTGCACTTGGTTAATACTTTTTTACATAAGTAAAAATATAAATACACTTTAACACCGATATACTATAATATGAAGTTGAATTAATATCTATCAAAACAAAAACTTACATAGTATCCTCTTATCTAATGAAGGGCATAACAACATTCATAGTAAAATATGCCTCACTATAATTTTACACATTCATAAAAGAAATAAAGTTGATTAAATGTCGTGTAAATGAGAAAGAGTAGAAAATTTACAATTATCCACAACAAGAACATAAAATAAATCCATTTTAAAACTCTAAAATCCATACAAGTCTCTAATTATGCACTTATCATTTTACAGAACCCAAAATCATAGCAAAAATATTGAATTCACATAACCCAATTCAAGGGTGATTACTATCTAATGAAAATCTTCCGCATGTTAGGATAGCTTATTCACTTCATTCATCCTGTGAAAAACCAATTTATTGTACCCTTTTAGCATGCTTAAAAGAATGCGGCACTTAAACTAATAATATAGAGTTCAACATTAAAATTAGCATATGAAATCATTACCTCTAGCGTAAAAGCAGTACCAAACAAAGCATCAACTCTGGACGAATAATAGTCGAGTATAAGAAATTCTTTAAAAATATATAATCAAATCAATGCTAGTGTATGAATGAAAGAAAAATAAAATAAAATAATAAACCACCAATATTTATACATCTTAGTGCTTGAGCCAATATCTGGCTGCAACTCAGGGGGACAATAAAAAAAACAAAGACAAGGAGTCTAGATTTCATGCAAATTTACAACTTCAGCAATCATTGCAGTCGATGAAAAGATTAATACATTGCTCGTATGTCTTAAAGGATAAAAGGAGCTAAAGGTTGCAAGATAGAATACTAAAAGCTCAAGCCCTTTGTTATTATTACTAATATTGAGGTGGAGGATTGGACTTTGATAAGGTAGAAAATCATGCCAAGCAAATGCTTCCTCCAAATAAAGCTCCAATAGTGACCAAACTTACTAGGAGCAGAAAATTTATACACATATAAGTGAAGTGGTAATTTGATCTCATTTGGAATCTTTATGACATGAATTATAACCCTTGATGAATAAAAAGAAAAACTAATTGAACATGTGACAGTTCCAAATATAAATAATCCTTCAGATCCTTTTTCCTCTCATCTCTTGATTACCTCTCTACCGGTCAAATGTTTCACTGGTAATCCTTCTCGCTCTCTTCACTCATTATATCTTTCTCCCTTCCCTAGTTATTGCATTAATATCAAATTTAAAATTATCTGTCTATAGTATACTTATGAGACGAGCTGAACAAATTAAACAGTTTTTTCTTATAAAAGGAAATAAGTTGCACACAGACTGGTATCTATATGTATGCTAGCTAAATGAAGCAGGTACAGACAAAGGAAAATTGAAGAAAGTTGCCAAATTGTAAATACAACAAAAAGTTGCCAAATTGTAAACTAAATCTCCTTGTAAACCAAATACTCATGTCATGCCTCAAACTGTGGATAGTAATTGTCATACGTTGGTTAGAATTCTTATTAAAAAAAAAAATAATGTAATGATTTTACAGTCCTGAGTTTTTACCTAGTTGAAGTTCTGATTGATCATCGGATCTCCTTATAACATAGACAACAACTAGTTACCTTGTAATATGTTTTGAGCAGGGTTGCGTGTGAAGACATGTAGGATACCACTACCCAAATATGTATGTGGGAATCTCATCATTGAACAACACAATGAAATCGTTCATGAGCAGGAACAATAGAGGACCAATAAACCCTCTGCATTATTGTTTCAGAATTCAAGCAAGTTAACTCATGGGCCAACGAATCTCTGCTCCTGACAGTCTTAGTTTTTGGGTCACTCCCAGTCACACACACACACACACTCTATTGTATTTCTTTCATACCAAACTCTGCTCTCCCTTCAGTCTTCAACAGGGAAAAGCATGAAAAAAAGAAACAAAGAACATACATACACAAAAGGAGAAGAAAGAAAACACTTTCTCCCTCAAGAATCCAATCCTCCGATTGGATTGAATCTTTGAGCTCCCAATTGCAAAATTTTATTTTCACGAAATTATTGAATCAATTTGAATATTGATTAGTAAAATTGAGGAGGAACAAAAGAAATTTTAGAGAATAATGAATGGGAAAATCTTCATAAACCGAAGGAAAATGACCCTCTCCCATCAAAAAAATAAAAGTGAACTATTTATTCAAGTGTAGGCTACTGCATACATTGAAAAAAAAAAATGCAAGTGGAGGAGACCCCTACACATGGCATTGAAAGATGTTACCTTATGCCAAATCCCTCTAGCTCTTTTTCTATAAGATGCTTATGGGTTATTGGCCTTATTGCATCAAGAACAATTCAAAATGCAATTGCATGTCCTTGCAGTACTAATAACCTGCATTTGCAAAACAGTATATAAAACAAAATATGTAAGTCGTTGTCTTGCAAGTGTGTGAACGAGGTATAAAAGAAGAAAGATGCACCTATCGGGTGCTTTAAGGTGAAAAGGAACATCTAAAGGAGCACATATTGGACAAAGAAATACCTATCAGGAGAACCAACTGACCCAATTATAATGGAAACTGATAGCAGCATTTTGAACACATTCGTAAGTATGAGGATTGATTTAAAAAGAAAAAGACTATAGGGACTAAAATTTTAATTTAACCTTTACATCTCTAATTATCTAAAGTGACAGGGAACTAATTAGCAAGGCATAATGTCAGTCACGCCTGAAACCCAACCAAAATGTCAGATCACTTGGCATAAAAGGCTAGTATAAGTTGTTCATGTTCTTAGTAGTTATCTCCTTGTAGATGTTTGTGTTTAGTGGTTAGCTGCTAGTGCCTACACACCATTAATTAATCCCTCATAAAATCCAACGTGGAATTTGAAATACCACAAACTGTTCAATGTTTGTCAATAAGATGATAAGTAACTACTAGATGTGGCAGATTGCCAGGTAGAATTGCCATCATTATCATGAAAACTATGATGGGCAGAGTTCACATTATATAAGAAATAAATAAAAAATACTAATAAGAAGCTTATATCAAAATCTATTGACACACTTAACTAGATCATCTTTAGTTATTTCAGAGAATCGGGAACTTTCTTGTTGAGCTCCTTCAGTATTTCAGAGAGAGGCCTACAGATTCCCGAACTTGGAGGAACATCCTCACCCTCTGATGGTTCAAAGTTCAACTTCGAATAAGACCGATTGTACCTGAAACGACAGCGAACCCAGGAACATGCC